AGTGTCCGGCGGGGCCAGGCAGTCAAGGCCTCTGCAGATCTGTGCACGGTGCCTGAGGACAGATGTCAGGACGCAGGCTGTGCTGGGTAGCCACGGTAGAGGCTCTTTCAATGGGACTTTGACAGGTATCGCCACCGGCCCCCTCTAACCCTGCACACACCCGTTACCGCGTGGGTGAGCGCCTGCCTTGTCAGTCCCAGCAAACGTCCCACACTCCCACAGTGACCGTCAGGATGGCAGCGACCGATGTGGGATTCTTTAACAGCACGTGGCTAAGCAGGTTTTTTACATTGGTCGTTTATGTTCCCTGTGACTTGCCTTTTCTTGGCTCTCGCCCATTGCGGTGGGTGGAACAGTGAACCCTCTCCCCATTCCTGTCCACCCGGAAACTCAGAGTGTGGGCTCACTTGGGAAGAGGGTCTACACGGACGTAAGGTTAAGATGGGGCCTCACTGGATCAGGGGAGTCCTCACACAAGGAGAGGACACGCAGCAGGACGATGGCCACGTGAACACGGGCTGGCCCCGGCAATGAGGCTGTGGGCAGCGCACGCAGGAGCCCCCAGCTGGCGGAGGGGGGGGGGGCGCTCGAGGGGGAGGCGTTCTCCAGAGCCTCTGGAAGAATCCATAATTTGGATTTCTAGCTCCAGGACTGTTAGAGCATAAACTTCTGTTGTTTTAAAACACCAACTCTGTGATCCCTTGTTACAGCAGCCAAAAGAGAATAACACCCATTAAAAAGCTGCTCATTGCCTGGTGGGCCTGGCTTAGTGAATGAGCGTCAACCTATGAACCAGGAGGTCACAGTTTGATTCCCGGTCAGGGCAGTGCCCAGGATTTGGGCTCAATCCCCAGTTTGGGGCGTGCAGGATGCAGCCGATCAATGATTCTCTCTCATCATTGATGTTTCTACGTATCTCTCTCTCTCTCCCTTCCTCTCTGAGATCAATACAAAAATATCTAAAAAGCTGCTCATCTATTGGTAAGAACTCAGCACATGATGGAATCAGCCTGTTAGAGTAAGTGGGACTCACTGGGACTCACCTGAGCTGTAAGCAGGACCAGCCCTGGCCTCACCTACCCGTGTGCTCCTGTTCAGTCTCACCGCCTCCCCCACAGTCACCACCCACACCTCTGACCTCTGCTTCTACTCCTTTGCTTAAAAGGTTCCCTTACACACGAATTTGTTCCAGACAAGACACTGTTTTGTTGTGGTTGCTTTTGAATTTCATCAAAACAGAATTCTACCCTCGGAGCCGTCGGCGACCTGGGCCGTATCAGGCTCCTCAGGCTAATCCGTGCACTGCACACGGTGCAGGCCCTCACCTCTCACAGGTGTGTAACGACACCGTCACACAAGTGTCCCTGGGGCCACCACCACCCGTGCCCCTCCCAGCAGGTGGACGTTGGGCTCTTTCCTGGCTCCCGCGGCGCTGGCTCTGTGCGGCCACGGTCCTGGCAAGTGCACGGCAGCCTCCCCTCCCGCTAGGAGAGGAGCAGATCATTAACTGAGGACAGGAATGTTCCGCCAACTAGTTTTCCAACGTGGCTGTGCCTACACATCCTCCCATTACAACGCACATTGTCCCGTAAAATGAGATCTATGTAATTCTGACTTCTCACAAATGAACACAACCGACCCATATTCGAGCATTTCCAGACTAAATGTAAAATCATGCTACTTGCAGCCCTGCTGATGTAACACCGATACCGGCTCAAACATAGGAGAGAGGTTGCCAATCTGCGTCATACTTAGCAGCACAGGCGTGGGGACTAAGACGCCAGGCCTGGGAGGATGAGACGAAGGGAGAAGACGGGGAATCGAGCCGCGCCAGTCCACCGGGACAGGTGTGCGAGGAAGCGAGTGCACCTGCCTTGCTCGAGCGGGGACTGTGAGTTACAGGCCCTGGCAGATGGAAGCACATGCCTTAACATACCTGGCACATCTGCATCATTAAACAGTTGATCACTAGAGCGCAGTGAATTTCCAAGAGTCTTTCCTGGCACAACTCAGGCCCCAAACTTGCTAACTATCTTTTTGTGCCTCTCACCCGTTTGCCTCTGCACCTGTTTGCCGCTGACAAATTTAAGACCCAGATCAAATCGAATGCTACCTGCGTACCAAGGCCCACGTGGCCCCGCAGGCTACTGAGCCGGCCTTCCTCGGGCGCTCTATTCCCACCACAGGGGCAGTGAGGGGAGGGGACAGACGGCAGCGTGTGCGCACCGCGTGCGTCCTGAGCAACCAGCTCAACCAGGTCCAACAGGCACTCAAACCTCTCGTGAATCCCTCCGCTGTTATTTTAACACCAGTCTCCTCACACCCGTCTGGAGTTCAGAGTCAGTTGCGTGATGTTTAATTGACACACTCTACAATTCTTTCGCAAATGAAAATTAATTACTGGATTCTATTCTGCAAATAGAGGTAATTGGTTCTTGCAAGAAGCAAAGGGCGTGTCTGACAGCAACATGCCACCGCGTGCAGAGCTAGAGCCTGCTCACTAGGGGCGGCCGCGGGCACCGGAGGGGTCACCGAGGCCCTGCTCAGCCGTGACCAAGACTCCGCTCGTTCCAAAGGGCAGGCCCAGCTCCTCCCCAGTTCCTCACACCTGGGAGCGTCTACAGAATCGCAGGGGAAAGACTGCACAACGGGAGAAAGCCACAGGCATGAGAAAGTCATACAAAGTCAGGCAAACGTGAAGATTATAAAGATTTTGTACCAAAAAAACAAAGACTTTTCCTGGATTCTGGTCAATAACTGCTTCAGAACATCCACCAGGAATGCGGCTGCGGCCCTGCACCCCCTCCCTGTCCCCCCATCTGATGAACCCACAGTCATCGCTCTGCCTCACCCCAAAGTCAGCTCCCAGCCCCTCCTGCGCAGCCTCCCAGCAGCATTGCCTGCCCTGCCCCTCACCCGATACCCCTCTCCTGACCCCTGACAGCAGCCTCTCCTCTGCAGACCACCTCCCGTCTCAGTGGCCTGCAAGCACCGTGTGCCCAGGCTCCGTCTGACCGGGGCTCTCCAGTCACACCCATCCCATGGCTGTAAGGACCAGCTGCTCATACCTTCTGGAGCCTGGACACCCCGCTTTCCCCCTCGCCCCCCAAGCCTCTTATCCCCCACGGGCCCCACCTCGGCAGGACGCTCCGGCTCCTAGAAATGCTGGGCGTCACCCTTAGCGCACACTCTATACTTGAGCCTTCAGCTCATCCCATTGGTTCTACCTTCAAAACTACCCCAGAACCCCTCCCTCTCCCTGCTCTCCTTGTCCAGGCCAACATAGTGCCTCCCTGCCCCGGCCCCGGCCATCTGTCATACCTGCTGGATGGACAGTGCAGGGAATGTCACCCCCAGCTCCCGGCTGCCATCAGCTTCCTGACCCTCGGCACCTCGACTGTGTTCAGTGCTGGGAGTGCGCTGGCCTCACAGTTCCTACAGTCCACCTGCCCAGCTAGTTCCAGCTCAGCTGGGTCCCCTCGCTGCTCCCTCTGCTCGAGCTCTCCCGCACGCCACTGTGTCGGAGGGCAGCCGCAGGCCCGCTCTCCATGGCACCCACCGGACCACCCACCGCATGTTCGCCATGGACCCTCAGGTCCCAGAACAACGCCTGGCGCTTAATAAATGTTGTTCAACAAATGGACCCATGTTGAGGGTTCCCACACCACTGGTTGTTTTCAAAGTTTGCCCTCATCCGCATCACCCCTCTCTCTTTAATCTACAGATAAGGGATCTGATTCTAACATGCGCACGATATTGAACTGGGCCAAAATAATCGCAGTCGGAGAAAAACGTGAACTCCACATCCCTGCGAGACAGACGGCTGTGCTTCCACGCCGCAGGATGCCTCATCCTGCCGACGCGATGGTTATCACAGGGCGGTAAGAAATTAGGCGATCCAACACGATTTGGGAGCCACTCCCTGGGACGAGTGAGAAAGTCTACCTCTTTTGAATAATTAGTCTTCATTTTTTTGGCAACCCAAGTGATAGTCAACCCAGGCAATGAAAACGTTAATTACGTAAATGAAAATGAGTAAAACAAATGGAGCTTAACTCTGAAATGAAGTCAGATGAAGATTGCTATTTACGCCCGGCTTTTCTCTTATTCCTGTTAGAATAGTCACGTAAACGCTATTCTGCGGGCAGATCGCATCTGGCCCGAGCAGGCGGTAGGTGGAACGCGAATACTGCACCTGCAGCGTGATCATCGGGACTTGGCTTTTGCAGTGGCTGCATGTGGCCTCGCGGTATTTACAGGCCTTTTCCACGTGATCGCGCAGGTCTTTCCTCAAGACCCTTTCTTTGCAGTCAGGACGCACACACGAGAGTTCTTCAAACTGGCAGTCAGTCCTCAAATGCACCTGGGAGACAAACAATCCCAAGTTCTTAGGCAGCAGCAAATACCACTGGAAGCGCCCGATTTCGGCCTCCACGCAATCAGCTCCCTCAGAAACATTTCCATCTGCCACAGACCAGCTCTCCAGAGGAGAGTGACACAGGATCAAAGACACTGAGTCCCACACCCATTCAGTGGCTCCTCAAACGATACTGCTCTGAAGAATTAAGTCAACTTCTCTCCCTAGATAAATAAATGGTTATCTGCTAAGGACTTTGTTTTATTCTAATTCAAATATCCTTTCAGGATAAAATCTATAATAATAAAAGGATAATATGCTAATTAGACCAGACATCTTCTGGACGTCCTTCCTGACGAAGCCAGGGCCTAGGGAAGCCAGCCCGGGTCCCGGGTGCCTGCTGGAGGAGGGAAGCCTGTGTCCCAGGTGCCGGAGGGAAGCTGGTGCCGGCAGCCAGGGGAAGGAAGGCCTACCCTTGCACGAATTTTCGTGCATCGGGTCTCTAGTGATACTAATAAAAAAATACAAGAAGTTATGTGGAATTTCATGGTAAAAATAAGAGGTTTTAATGGATCTTCCAAAATTAAAATTCGATACAGATTTCTTTCTGTTCTAAATAGAGTGGCGAGTTTACACCCAGTGGGGAATTCTGCTAATGGTGTCACAAAAGGGACATTTCCGGCCCACGTGGTATGACTGCTCTCACGTGTGGCAGGTCTTAGATGATGAATGCCTAGGTGCACACACACTGGCCGGGGACGCTGTGTACACGGGACCCCCTGCGACCTCGGTACTGACCAGCAGCTGTCCCAGGGCTAACTGCTCGGCGCAGCCGCGGCCGACGTTCCGGCAGTGGATCTGGAGGGCCAGGATCTCCCGCTTGCAGCAGTTATCCTTGAACACCTGCAACGAGGACAGCGGTGAGAGGCGGGCAGCATCCCTCATCGCCACAGGCTGCTGCTTTGGGCGATGCAAAACCACTTTGAAAAAATCACGCAAGCTTCCCTTACGTGGGCCGCAAAGCATGGAGGACCATCTTCATTTCCCATGTCTACAAGCAGAAGGGAGAAGCTGCCCCACAAAGAGACACCATTTATTTATTTAAACATATTTTTATGATTTCAGAGAGGAAGGGAGAGGGAGAGAGAGATAGAAACATCAATGATGAGAGAGAATCATGGATCGGCTGCCTCCTGCACACCCCACACTGGGGATCCAGCCCCCAACCTGGGCATGTGCCCTCACCGGGAATCGAACCGTGACGTCCTGGTTCATAGGTCGATACTCAACCACTGAGCCACGCTGGCTGGGTAGAGACACATTTAAATAGCACAACCTTAATACTGTCTTTTACTAGAGAAGCCAAAAGGAACCAAGTCACACTGAACACTGAGAGGACGCTGGGTTCACGCTAACACAATCTCAGGCGGGCACACCAGGACCGAGTTCACGTTGGAACTCTGGACACTCCAGGAGCCGGCACCGTGAAGGTGGCCACGGGAGCTCACCTCCGGTCAAGGCTCAAGGGCAGAACCTGGGAGAACTTGATGCCTTGGTAGATCGCTGACTACAGAAACTACCGTGAAAGGCCACATCTCACAGACGGTTAGTAAACCATTTATTTTGGTTCCTTCTCCAAAGATTAAGTCACTGATAACTCATTTTTTAGCAAAAAGGAGGCATTAGCCTGCTATTAAAAAATCCTTTTAAATATATATTGCAAAGTTGATCCAATAATGAAAATGTTTCCCTTTCAAAATGAAAACCCTCCTTTCTTTAATCCTGTTTCCCCTTTAGAAAACAGGTATGCTCACTCCTAACGACATGGTTACCGTTAGCCCTTGGGCATTTAATTCTAAGAAACTCCCACATGCTAGCGCTGTCACAATGGAAAACCAGACAGGGAGCCTTTCTCAACCCCAGAGCAGAGGCAGAATTGACAGCTGTGAAGAGTTAAATATAAACTAATTTGGAGTCAGATCTAATTCTTTATAAACAGGACTTTTAAAATAGGTCATAATTTAAGATTCGAAAGTCAAACAGGTGTTTTTAACCGGTAAGAAATAGCTTCCTTTTTGTGTCAAAGTTTCTGGAGCCATTTGAGTTTAACTTTATGATTGGGAACATAAGAACACGAGAAGGACAGAGCTTTAGAGCTAAAGAGCTCAGACTGTGCACTGCAGCTGAGGATGCCGAGGGCCGCAGTGCCCTCCACCAGCGGCCTGACCTTGTCTCCCAGGGCCCTGCCCCACGAGGACCCACGGCGTGACTCATCTCATTTATGCTTCTTCAACAAAACTAGCATTTTCCCTCCAGCTATCAATGCCATTGAAAAATAGGAATTGCCCTGGCCGGTTGCTCAGTGGTTAGAGCATCGACCCAGGGACTAAAGGATCTCGGGTTCGATTCCTGGTCAAGGGCATGTACCTGGGTTGCAGGTTCCATCCCCAGCCCCATCAGGGCACGTGCAGGAGGCAACCAATTGATGTGTCTCACATCAATGTTTCTCTCTCCCTCCCTCCCTCAATGGAAAAAAAAATCCTTGGGTGAGGATTGAAAAAAAAAAAAAGGAATAATACTGATTAATGAAATGAGAGACTAAGAGGCCCTCTCAGTCCGTTGTTTGTTGTTCCGACTTCTTCCCTGTACGTAGGTTAGATGCGTGTTAACAAGGTTAGCTACAATGTTAAGATAAGGAGAACAGGGTGATTTGTTTTTCTTAGAAACATTCCCTTCCCTGTTACCAACCGAAGTCTTTAGAAACAGGTAAAGGCTTAGAAAGAAAAGGCAGGAGAATCAAGATGGGGGTGTAGGTAAACGCCAGTACTCACCACCTCCCACAACCACATCAAAATTACAGCTAAAATACAGAACAACCATCATTCAGAACCGCCTGAAAGCTGACTGAATGGAAGTCCTACAACTAGAGAAGGAAAGAAGAAATAACCAAAACACCAAGGGTTAAAGACAAAGAGAGAATCTTAAAGGCAGGAAGAGAAAAGCAGTTAGTTACCTACAAGGGAGTACCATACGACTGTCAGCTGATTTCTCAACAGAAACCATGCAGGCCAGAAGGGAGTGGCAAGAAATATTCAAAGTGATGAATAGCAAGAACCTACAACCAATACTGCTCTACCCAGCAAAGCTATCATTTAGAATTGAAGGTCAGATAAAGAGCTTCACAGAGAAGATGGGGCTGGCTAAAGGAGTTCATCACCGCCAAACCAGTATTGTATGAAATGCTGAAGGGTATTCTTTAAGAAGAGGAAGAAGAAGAGGAAGAGGAAGAAGAGATGAAAAATATGAACAATAAAATGGCAATAAATACATATCTATCAATAAGTGAACCTAAAAATCAAAATAAGCAAACAAGGACTCTAATGAATGAAATAAACTGGTGAATAAAATAGAACCGAGGCCTGGAAGCATGGAGCAGACGGACGGATCTCAGAGGGAAGGGGGGAGGGAGGGAAGAGACTAACCAAAGATCTTATATGCATACATCCATTACCTATAGACACAGACAATAGGGTGGTGAAAGCCTGGGGTGAGTTGGAAACCAGGACATCTGTAATATTCTCAACAATAAAGATTAAAAAGAAGAAAACATAATTATGCTTTTAAAGTTTTTCACAGGTGTTATAAAAATAATTTAGAATCAATAGAGGGAGACTCTAAACTGAAAAGAAAAAAAAGATCCTGCTCTTACAGAAATTCTGGTATACCCATGGTAATTGCAAGTGAGTTTGAGTTTCTGTGGATGGGTGTTCCTCGCTGCAGACAGAGGCCAGCCTGCCGGGCCGCAGCCAGGAGCCCGAGCGAGAACTTCACCACAATGTCATGGCCTGCATTTAAGAAACTATTAGGTTCATTAATCAAAACATCGGAACCACGGATTTTTATTGATATTTTAAGTACTTCAATGAGTCATTTCCAACTACAAGTGTGCCTGGCGGAGTGTGGCAGCACAGGGAGGGCCCGGGGAAGCCGTGGGTGAGCTGGCGCCTCTGGTCTCTGACAGAATGGCCCCCGTGACACCTGTGAGCCCCGCCCACAGGCCCGTGGGCAGGGAAGGGGCTGAAATCTCAGGTGGGTCATGGCTTCAGGATGCCCATGGGGGCGGGAGCCAGCGGCCACATGGCAGAACGGACCGAGCGCCGCACGCAAACCACCCAGCTCCCAACACAGGACAAAAACTGACAAAGAACCCAGCGATACCTTATCTTTAACGATGCTCTCCTGACACGCAGTGCATTTCGGGCTGGCGGAGCTGAGGGAAAGAGACAAACACGTCAGAGCGGAGCCGCCTCTGGCCGCGGTCCTGTCACTCGGGGC